GGCTCCTCGGGGCAGCATGTCCTGGTGCCCACGTGGCCAGACGGAGGAATGTGATCTTGGAGGCTCCAGAACTAATGGTTAAAGCAGGTGTGTGCTCGAAGCCAAAGGCCAGGTCCAGGCCAGGCTCCCATGGGTGCTGGGCACCAACTGTTCCAGCAGAGCCCAGGCTGCAGGCAGGGGCAGGCCAGCAGTCTGCCGAGGGTCCAGAAACTGGCTGGGGCTTGGCCTGGCAGTTAGGTCTTTCCTGAAGGAGAAGCCAAGGGCTTGGCAGGCTGGGCCCTGGGGGGAAAGGGTGCCGGCAGGCAGGAGCGGGGACCCCCAGCTTCCTCTTGGGTTCTGTTCTGTTGGGACGCAGGCCCAGGCTGCTGTCCAGAATTCTCAGGAACTTTTGTAGTCCCAGATGACCCACAGCCAGGGCCCCTGCTCCTGGCACCCTGCCTCCAGAAGGCCTCGACCGGAGGCTTGGGCGGCATGCAGTGCAATCGGGTATCATGCAGTGCAATCGGGTATCGGGGCTGGACCTGGGGCTGGGGAGCAGAAAGAAAACCTGGTGGGGTGAGGGGCAGCCTGAGCTCCCACCCACCACGAAGGACCCCCTTTCCTGCTCATGGGAGGGGACACCTCTGGAGGAGGGCGGGCATGTGCAGGGGAGACCTGGTCCCTTTGACTCCGGTTTGAGTGCTAGGATGTTGGAAAGATCAGGGGTGGGGGGTGGGGGTGCAGGGCAGTGTCCTGGCCCCATTTCCCAGTATGGACGCAGAGCCGGGGTGGTGGCGGCAGTGGTGGCAGTGGGACAGAGGCTGGACCCCTGGATCGGTACAACTTGAGGCAGTAGGGCCAAGCATCAGGCACAGTGGTTGGGGGAAGCCCCCCCAGAGGCAAAGGCACTTGCTGCACTTTGCTGCTTGGGTGGAAAGTGGTAAACAGCCAAAGAATATTGTTTGCTTGCATGCACCGGGCAAGGGAAGGCTGTCCAGGCCCAAGAGACAGTGAGCCCCAAAGCAGCACAGGCTACATCCCCCAAGCCCCGGACTCTGGCAGGGGAGGATCCCTTCACTCCCTCTCCTCAAGGTCCTGCTGCTGGCCCCTTGCCCGCTTCCCAGGGCCAGGCCAGCAGGCCAGCCAAGGAACACCAGGTCTTGTTGAAGCCCCAAGGTGGGGTGGTTGGGCATGGCCCTGACCTGGGTGGGCCCACACTCTTCTGCCCGAGGCATCTTGGACTGGAGTCTGCCTGGCCGGACAACAGGAGTATGGACAAGGGCTGACAGTAGAACTGTGCTCTCCTGGAGTACCCTGCTGACCCCCGAGGAGGTCTGGATCAGCTCCGAGAGGGGGCAGGAGCATGCCTTTTGAGACTATGGTGGGAAGGGGGATCCGAGAGCCTGCCCTGTCAGCGTCCAACCCCTCCAAACGTCCCCTCACCGTGCAAACAGCTTCAGGAGCAGATCCCCATTGGTCCATCCCTTCCCAACCCAGGACCACAGACATCCTGTCTACGAAATCCCTCGGGTCTCGCTGGGCAGTTTCTCCCACCTTCAACCCTGGATGGAGGGTGGTGGTCTCTGGGTGGATTCACACCCTGCAGCAGGTTTGGTCAGGCCTCTTGCACGGGCCCCTGTCTGGCCCTCCCTTCTCTCATCTCCACCCTCCTCCAAGTCCCTGACCCCTGTGGCTATCAGTGCCACCACTGCTAGCCGAGGGGCTGAAGCCCCGAGGAGTAGTGGAGCCAGGTCCAGCCCTTCAGATGAAAACTGCCCCCCAAGCCCACATCAGCCGGTTCATGGGAGCTGAAGCGGCAGTGGCACCCAGTACCCTCCCTGCCCATCTCCCAGCTGTATGCACTCGGAAAGACAGGTCTGAGGCCGCCCTAGCTGGGCTGTGCCCTCTTGCTGAGCCACCTGGGGTGGGGGTGGGGGCTGTTGCGCACGCCCCCTTTGCCTTAACTGGTCCCCTCTCTTCCAGGACTTGCACCCGCCCGCCTGCCCAGGGACCCTTCCTCCCTGAGACCTGACAGGGAGGAGTCATCCCAGCCTGTCTCTCCTGGAGTCCACACTCGCTCTGCTCCACACTGCTCTCTCCAGCCAGTCCAGCTGCTGCCCGGTTGGTCACCTGATCCTCCTGTAAACTTTATGGTGTGTGGAGCAGTGGCAGCTGGCCTGATGGGGGCGGGGGTTGTGCCTTAAAGGAGCCGGAGGGCACCCCGGCCCCTGGGCTTCACCCCTTCCTCCAGCCAGAAGGGGCTGGCATGGGCGGGGACGGGAAGAAGCCGGTGCTTCTCCAGTGGAGGTGGCTACTGTGCCCTGCTTCTCTCGCCGGCCTGGAGAAGGCCAGTTGTCAGCAGAGGGCAGGAGACTGGTGAGGGGTCTTAGCGGTTCAGGGAAGGGTTGCGACTCAGAGGGGGTGGCAGATGGCAGGGCTGGGAGATGGTGAAACCCTACGAAAAGTTCAGGAAGGAGGGGAGGACTGGGGGGGGGCAGCTTGGGAGGTGGGAGGCTCTGTGAGGCGAGGGAGGGAGGGAAGGGCAGTCCACCCCTCCGGCCCTTGGCACGCCTCCCCAAGCGGGGCCTCTGGCTTCCAAGGACTGACCCCACGGAATCTCTCCATGGTGTGCTCGGGCCCTGCCACGCTCTCTGGACACTGGAGGGAAGAGGTCAAGGGTGAGACTGGGGGACTGGGCTCGGGGAGCTTCTGCCCAGGTTGCGGGTCTCCCACTGGGAAACCGGTGTCCCAAGGTGGACGGGGGAGGCAGTTGGGGTTGTGTTCGCTTGCCACCTGCCCACCGAGAGCTATGCGTACCCGCGCACGCACACCTGCAGGGCACAGAGAGGCGCACACATGTGCCACACAGACAGATCCATATTGCTTGCACATGCCCATGCCACATGTGTACACACACACCCATGTGTACCCACAGCACTTGCACATGGCATACAGGTACGCACAGAGCCATTAGAAACCCACTCAAGCCGCAGGCAGCCACACCCTGGCCCCGACTCCAATGTGTTGTTTCTTTAGCCCCCTCCCCAGGCTGAGGCCTGACCCTCCTCTGTCGCTGCCCCTCCTACAAGGCTGCAGGGATTCAGGGACTGGCCCATCTGAGTGCTCTGCTCGCTGGCATCCTGCCCCCTCCCTCACAGGGAGGGGGTGTCCTCCTCTAGCCGCCCTCCTCACAGGGCCCCCACTCCTGGCCCTGGCTGCAACCAAAGTGGGCATGCAGCGCCTGGGTGAATTAATATTTGTGGGTGTGTGTGTACGGGAAAGGGTGGCTTTCAGAGGGTGACGTGGTGGGGCGGGCGCCTGTCCATGTGAGGGTGACCTCTGACCCAGAGGGTGTGCCCGTGTGGGTGTGTCTGTGATTGTGGCCAGGCCGGGTGCCCCCTCCAAGGGGGCGGCCCCACCTCGGAAGTGGAATGCGACCCCCCAGCCCTGTGCCCCTAGGGGCTGTAATCTGATCCCTGGGGACTCCCCCCCTCCTCGTGGGGCCGCATGCTGGCCCCGCCCGCCCGCCTGCGCCCTAGCTGCTGACTCCCTCTCCTCCAGATCCTGGAGCAGAACCCAGGGCGGCTCAGGGCTCGTCCACCTCTCTAGCCCGACCCGGGCGGGCGCCTTGAGCCGCCGCGGCATGGGGCGGGCCACCGCCGCCGCCATCATCCCGGGCTTGGCCCTGCTCTGGGCCTCAGCACTGGGGGACGCTGCTCCGAGCCCCCCGCGCCTGCGGCTCTCCTTCCAAGGTAGGTGCACCTGGCCGGCGGGAGGGCTGGGCTCAGGTTGGCGGGGAAGGGGGGTCCGGTACTTGCTATTGATGGCCCACTTGGTGAGCTGGTCACCTGTCTGGGCTGGTGTGAAGAAACTCAGGCCACCCCTAGTTAACCCTACCCTGGTCTCTCTGCCCATACTCTCCCCCTGCCTTCCGGAGAGACTCCTTCCTGTCCCCATGGCAACAGACTGTGCCTTGGCTCCATCCCTCCCCTACCAGACCACGCTCCGGGCTGTCAATGAAGTCGAGGTGTGGGGCCCCCAGAGCCCCCTGCTCAGTGCCCCACACAGGGGATTGGTGACTCGGAGTGGTGGCTGTCTGCCAGACAGATGTTCTGCTGAGCTCCCGCTCCAGGGTGGGGTGGCAGGGAGGGGACGCTCAGTTTGACTTTGGGGTTGGGGTTCTGACTGTCCCCACACGCCCGGCCTCCCCCTGGAACCCTGGTGTCCGCAGGCCTGGCCTCCCAGTGCGCCCGCCCGTAGACGCTGCTTGTCTGAGCACGTCCAAGCTCCACTTGCTTCCCCTTCCTGGGGGCTGCACCGCCCACCCCAGCAGCTACACGCATGCACCTGGGTGGGCCTATTCTCACATGGGTGAACTCAACCGAATGTGAGCGCACCTATATGTGGGGCACGTCTCTCGTCCAGCCCTGGACTGGGAGAGAGCCAGCTACCCAGGGGCTGCCAGGTCTTCAGATGTTCCTAACCAACCCCCACCACCACCACCACCACACGCACAGAGCTCCAGGCCCGGCACGGGCTCCGGACCTTCCGCCTGGAGCGGGCCTGCTGCTACGATGCCCTGTTGGTCGACGAGGAGCGTGGACGCCTGTTTGTGGGTGCCGAGAACCACGTGGCCTCCCTCAGCCTGGACAACATTAGCAAGCGGACCAGAAAGGTGGCAGGGCCCCCCAGCCCCAGTGCTGTCTGGAGAGGCAGCCTGGAGAGACGGGGGTGGTGGTGGGGGGCACCCAAGGGGAAGATCCTGAGCTGCTGTTGTGTTACCCCACCCCAGCTGGCCTGGACAGCCCCCGTGGAATGGCGAGAGGAGTGCAACTGGGCAGGGAAGGACATTGGTGTGAGTACTGACCAACAGCCAGAGTGGGAGGAAGGAGGGCCGGCCCCTCACCCACAGACGGGCAGTGCAAAACAGAGGCCCGCCTGTTCTGATGATGGGGAGGGTGGAGGGAGGTCGGGGTGGCTGAGGTCTTGAGGTGGTGAGTCAGGGTGGGGGGCTCATGTGACCCTCCTTCCAGGCTTCTGTGTCATGGGCAGTGGGCTGTGCAGGCTTATGCTTCCCCATGAGCCCACCCTGCTCTAGGGTGGGCTGGTCACTGTGGGCACCAGCTTCTGCTGACCCATGCTAGTCCTTGGCTGGGCCAAGGCAGAAGAGTGGTCAGGGAGGGGGTGACCCTGGTGAGCTGGGGTCCTTGGGGCCGCCCACAGGCCGGGCGGAGCTGACCGGCCTGTCTGCCCACCAGACGGAGTGCATGAACTTTGTGAAGTTGCTGCACATCTACAACCACACCCACTTGCTGGCCTGTGGCACCGGGGCTTTCCACCCCACCTGCGTGTTCGTGGAGGTGGGCCACCGGCTAGAGGTAAGGGCGACCTAGGCAGAGAAGGGGGGCAGGAGGGAAGGAAGGGCCTGGCAGTAGCCCCCTTCCCCCACCCCCACCTCCCAGGAGCCCACACTGCGGCTGGACCTTCGAAGCCAAGAGGACGGCAAGGGGAAGAGTCCGTATGACCCCAGGCATCGGGCAGCTTCCGTGCTGGTGGGTGAGTCCAAAGACTGGGACACCCTCACCCACCTATAGTGCTCCTGGAATCCTCAGAGACTAGAACCTCAGAGAGCCCAAGGCTTGGGGGATCCCCCATAGCTGCTAGTCTCCCCAAGTGCCCCAGGACCTTCCCAGGCACTCCTACTCCCTCCTGGCGCCCTCAGCCTGGCTGAACAGTCCTCACTCTTCCACAGGGGAGGAACTGTACTCAGGGGTGGCTGCAGACCTCATGGGTCGGGACTTTACCATCTTCCGCAGCCTGGGCCGGCGGCCAAGCCTCCGCACAGAGCCACACGACTCCCGCTGGCTCAATGGTGAGAGGCTGGGGGCCCAGGAAAGAAGGGGCCCTCGGAGTTCAAGCCAGGCCGGTGGGGAGGGAGGGGGCAGTGAGCAGGGCCAGGTGCTGGGGGCACAGAGGCAGACAAGACGGGCTGGCTAGTTCCCTCTTGGAGGTCGAAGACTGGAGAACAGACATGTCTGATGAGACCCATTCTAATGACCAAGGCCAAGGAGAGGACAGAGGGGTGCGGGGAGAGGGGGAGAGACTGAAAGCCCAGGGGGGGGGGGAGCTGCTCTGTTGAAGGGAGCTGTGAGTCTCTTAGCCAAAGCCCAAAAGAGCAGCCAGCAGCAGGGTTGAGAGAAGCTAGTGCAAAGGCCTTGTGACAGGAGCATGCGGAGAACAGGTGCACCATGGAACAGTGGTAAGGGACTGGGGCTGTCAGGGACCAGGGGTCGCTAATTTAAGAGCAGTGGGACCCAGGTTTGAGGCAGGGTCAGGATTCACAAGTGTAGGAGAAATGAGATTTCCCCCACCTCCAAGTCCTCTAACTGGACCCCTGCAGGGCCTCCCGGTTCACTGTCCTGGTGCCAGACAGTCCTGGTCTCTGCTGCCCTCTGGTGACCGCTCCATGCCTCACTTCAAAGCCTGCCCCTTTGGGTTTGGTGGCCCAACTGAACTGGTCCTGGGAGCTGGGCTGTCAGTCCCAGACAACCCTAGGGGGTCCAGCCAGCGCCCTTGGGACCTTAATAGGGAGCTCGGACTAGGACCCAGCTGACTCCTTGCCCCCTCCTGCACCCAGAGCCCAAGTTCGTGAAGGTCTTCTGGATCCCAGAGAGCGAGAACCCAGAGGACGACAAAATCTACTTCTTCTTCCAAGAGTTGGCGGTGGAGGCAGCCGCAGCCCTGGGACGCCTGACTGTGTCCCGTGTGGGCCAGATCTGCCGGGTAAAGAAAGAGCCCCGGGGCCGCTGGGGTGGGGGTGTACCCTCCGGGCGCTGCCCTCATCCAGACGCGCTCCCCCCTTCCTGCAGAATGACGTGGGTGGCCAGCGCAGCCTGGTGAACAAGTGGACAACCTTCCTGAAAGCGAGGCTGGTGTGCTCTGTGCCTGGCGTCGAGGGCGACACCCACTTTGACCAGCTGCGTGAGTACCCAGGGCAGCGGATAAGCCAGGGAAGGGGTAAGGCCCACCCCGGGGAGCTCCCCGCCAGCAGGCTCTGTCCCTACAGAGGATGTGTTCCTGATGCCCTCAAGGGACCGCCGCAGCCCACTGCTCTACGCTGCCTTCTCCACATCCAGGTTAGGGTGGGCAGGGCAGGGCTGGGGTGGCCGTGGGAGGGGTCCCCTGGGTCCCAAGCTGTTCCCCTCCCCCACTGCTCCCTGGTCTTCCCCCACAGTGGCCTCTTCCAGGGCTCTGCAGTGTGTGCCTACAGCATGAACGACGTGCGCCGGGCCTTCCTGGGACCTTTTGCACACAAGGAGGGGCCCATGCACCAGTGGGTGTCTTACCAGGGCCGGGTGCCTTACCCTCGGCCTGGCATGGTGCGTGGGCTGGGCTCTCCCTCCATAACCCACTTCAAAGCCTCAGGCCTAGAGATTTCAGCCTGGGCTCTTCTTGGTGAATGGTCTCTCTTTTTCATTTTCGGTGTGGGTGGGAAAGATTCTCATCCTCAGATGGGCTCCTCCCCTAGACACCCCAGGGCAAAAGGGCATCTCATTTCTCAGACCCCCAGGATAGATCTGTCTCTGTGCCCACACCCCCCTCAGATTCCTAGAGGTCACCGGTGGGGTTGCTGCTTACCAGGCTCCCACACTCACACCTCTGCTATGCACCCCCACCCCCACCCAGTGCCCCAGCAAGACCTTCGGCACCTTCAGTTCCACCAAGGACTTCCCAGATGACGTCATCCAGTTTGCCCGAAACCATCCCCTCATGTACAATCCTGTCCTGCCCGTGGGCGGACGCCCTCTCTTCCTGCAAGTGGGCGCCGGGTACACCTTCACGCAAATTGTCGCTGACCGAGTGGCAGCTGCTGACGGCCACTACGATGTGCTCTTCGTTGGCACCGGTGAATCCCCCTGGACAGCCCTCCCCACCCTGGTGTTGGAGCCAACTGCCCTGCCCCACCTTCACGTCTGAGTCCCGGCCCTGGTCTTGTGGACCCAGCCCTTTGCCAGCCCCAGCCCGGTGCCACCGCCAGCCACCGATGGCCAGGGTGGAGGTGTCAAAGGCCAGGACCTCCTGCGGTGGTAGCCAGGGAAGCTGCGGGGGCAATTAGCCCTTCTCCTCCTCCCTGCAGACGCGGGCACGGTGCTCAAGGTGATCTCGGTCCCCAAGGGCAGCCGGCCTAGCTCCCAAGGGTTGCTCTTGGAGGAACTGCACGTGTTCGAGGTGAGGCTGGGTCCGCACCTGCCCTGTCCCCCTATCTCATCCCACGATCGACCCCCGACCCCCGTCACTGCTCCTCCCTCTCAGGATTCGGCTGCTGTCACCAGCATGCAGATCTCTTCCAAGAGGGTGAGTGACGGGAGCCTTGAAGGGAGGGGATGCGCGGAGCGCACGCCCACAGCGCCCTCCCGCACCCCTCCGTCCCCAGTGCTAGTTAGGAAGCCGCGGGTTCCAGTCGAGGTTCGGTCTTGGCTAGACCTGAAAGCTGCCCTCTCGCAAGTAGGAGCAGGCAGGGGTCCTGACTGGTGGGAGGTGGGCGCGGGGCTGCCCCCTATTAGTGTGGAGTCCCCTGTGTCTCCCAGCACCAACTGTATGTGGCCTCGCGGAGCGCGGTGGCCCAGATCTCCTTGCACCGCTGCGCCGCCCACGGCCGCGCCTGCGCGGAATGCTGCCTGGCACGTGACCCCTACTGCGCCTGGGACGGGGCTGCGTGCACGCGCTTCCAGCCGAGTGCCAAGAGGTGGGTGAGGCTGGGGGCCCGCTGACGCGGGTGGGGAGCCTGAGGGGGCGTTTACTTGTTGGAAGGGTCCACTGAGGCTCAGGGCTCCTCCCCCAGGCGGTTTCGACGGCAAGACGTAAGGAATGGTGACCCCAGCACACTGTGCTCCGGAGGTAAATGCCCCAGCCACCCATCCCCTTCAGCCCCAGAAGACAGGTGCCCTGCCTCAATCTGACCTCCTGGCCCCCCAGACGCGGCGCGCGCTACACCCCAGGAGCAGAAGGTGCTGGGCGTGGAGGGCGGCAGCGCTTTCCTGGAGTGTCAGCCCCGCTCTCTGCAGGCGCGTGTGAACTGGACCTTCCAGCGTGCAGGGGAGCAGGCCCGCACCCAGGTGAGCCTCCCTGACCCCACATCCAGGCTCCTGTCCGGCCTAGCTTTCCCACTGAGGTGAAGCCCCACCCCACCAGGTACGCTTAGCCCATGCCACGGGACTCCGCCATATCCGGAAGAAGCCCCACCTGTTGAGGTTTCTGATCAGTCCCTCACTTTCAGGTGAACTCTGCCCCGTTCAGGTGCCCACACCTGCAGGTCCTTGGCCCTGGTGCATCCAGTCGCCGTGTGTGTCCCAGAGTGCCCCTTTGCACTTGGCCCCCATCCCCCAGTGTCTCTCACCCCTTGCTCAGGGGACTTCCCGATGCCTCATGCCAGCCCCACCCGCAGGTGCCGGCGGAGGGACGTGCAGAGCGCACAGTGCAGGGGTTACTGCTGCGCGGGCTGCGGCGTGCGGACTCCGGCGTGTACCTGTGCGTGGCTGTCGAGCAAGGCTTTACGCAGCCTCTGCGTCGCCTGGCGCTACACGTCCTGAGCGCTGCGCAGGCTGAGCGGCTGGTGCGGGTAGAGGAGGTGGCGCCCCCGGCGCCCCCGGGACCCAAGCTCTGGTACCGCGACTTCTTGCAGCTGGTGGAGCCAGGCGGCGGCGGTGGTGGCCCGAGCTCCCTGCGTATGTGTCGCCCGCCTCCCGTGCCAGGCCCACAGCCCCCCGCGCCCCGGAGGAAGGGCCGAAACCGGCGGACTCACGCCTCGGAGTCACGTGCTGAGCGTGGCCCACGCAGCGCAGCGCACTGGTGAAGGCGCAGATGGAGACGGGAGGCCAGAACCTGGGATGTAGAGATGGGCGGGCACACCGAGGACCCTGGTACTAGACCAAGACACCAACTGACAGGCCCGGGCACCGAAGGGCAGCTGCTCCGGCTTATTTATTAACAGCTAACCCTTGAATGTGGCCCCAGAGGGGCGGCCCAGGCTTGGCTAGAATGAGCAGATAAGTGGGGCTCCGGAAGCACTGGGAGAGCTCACCCTGTGGGCAGGACCCCCTCCTTGGGCTGCAAGCTGTGAACAGGTGGGGCTGCTGGGGCAGGCCGACTGTACTAAAGTAATGCAATAAACACATTATCAGCTGAAACCGAGATGGCCACAGCGGGCAGCCACTCATCCCAGGACTTGCCGTGTGGCTCTGGGCACCTACCCAGCAGCCTCGGGGGTCCAGTGCCCTATCCAAGCCTAAATTGGGCAGCTTCCATGACCAGTGTCTGTAGGGCCTTTGGGGGTACAGATATACACAATACTCTGAATAATTTCAAGGCGAAAGGTTTTGGGCCAAAAAAAAAAAAGAGGAAAACAAAATTGGGTGATGAGATGAACAGGCCTCACTGAAGAGGTGGTTTCTGAGCTAGTGGACCACAGGGCTAGCTGGGGGACAGAGCAAAGAGGAAGCAGGGGCAGTGCAAAGGCCCTGAGGGGGGAACAAGCCTGCCACTGCTGAGGAACTTCAAGGAGTGACTGACCGGTTGGGGGGCTTTTAGTAGGTAGAGCTCATGGCCTTGCTTTCCCCCAGGTGGGGTCATGGGGCCACTGTCAGGCCCCTGCATTCTTCAGTCCCTGTGGGGCCCACCTGTGCATGCAGAGAGCAGTTAAGTAATTGCCCAGCTGAGCCCTGTGTATCTGTTCTCACCCAACACCGCCAGGGGAGAAATACCCACTGTTGTTGCCAATCTCTGGCAGGCTGTCAGAGAAAGCCCATCTTTTACCCAAGATTGCAAAATGGGTAGCGGCTCTGCTAACCACACAGCGTGGGCTACTCTTGGGGGAGGGCACTCTGAAGCACTCAGCTCTGGCTACCTGCTCCCCCAGGACCCCAGCACAGCTGCTGGGAGAAGGGGGATTACAGGGCTGGCATGTACGGGGCGTTCTTCCCCTGCATTGTGGGGTATTGTTGTGGGCCAGCGAGGAGACCCTGCGCCCTGCGCACATACACAGCTCTTGAGCACCTGCCTTGATGGAGGCATGCCCTTGGGTAGACAGCCCAGGCAGGCCGTGTGGGTCACTCTACCCCAGGGCTGAGCTGCCCGACCTAAACATAGCCCCTCCGGCTGAGCTCAGACCTATTTTAAGCTTAGAAAGGGCGGTGGCTAGACCTCCCCCTGGCTCTCACAGGATTCACTGCTGCCAGTGTCCCTTCTCTACCCGGCCCATCACTGGTTCTGACTGCCCACCATCCAGCATGCCTGAGGAGGTCCAGGAAGGTAGGAGGGGTGCCCCTGAGGGAAGGGTGAGGTCTCAGGCTAGTGACCCATGACCTCACCTGTTGGGCTGATCATCAGCATCCTGTCCAGCTTCAGGGACAAAGGTTGTGCAGCCCCCTCTCAAGAAGCACGTCATGGCTGGAGCTTCTCCACGTGTCAGGTCCCACCCTCCTCCGCTGGGGACAGTGGAGGGTGGGAATGGGGTGGTGGTGGTGGGTGGGTATGGGTCAGCAACAGGCTGCACTCAGGATGCGTGTGGGTAGCTGCTTGGCTAGGGCAGCACATCCGTCAAGGAAGAAGTTAGGGCTGGAGCTGGAACCTGGCCAGGGACCTTGACAGTAGACAGGCCTCTGGCTGACCCCCACCTGGGTCTCAGTGTCCCCCAAGGCTGAGATCAGTATCTCTTGGCCTAACCAGACTGCTAGTCAAGGCCATGGTGGCCAGTTACTTAAGTACTCCATGGCCTGGGAGAGGGACTGCAGCTGCCAGGACCCCGGCTGATGGCCCAGGGCAGCCAACTCCCCTTGATGCACCCTTGCTGAATTGTCAGCTTCTTCCAGTGCAGAAGGGCCCCGCCCCTGGGGGTGGGGGGTGGGCATGCTCCCCTCCCCTTGGGGCTGGGGTCCTAATAGCATTTATTGTGTGCTTTCCCTGGTAACACACCGTCCACTCAGAACAGGGGATTGACACCACCTCCCCGAGAGCTGTGGCTGTTCTCCTCGCTCAAGGGACAATCTCCAGCCAATCAGGGAGGTCCAGAGTTCTCCCCACCACCTCAGCCCCCATCAGGTGCCTCATCTCTCCCCGCCCCCCACCCCGTGCAGACGTACTTTGTTACCTAGCTCCCAGCCGGGCATCTAGGGGTCTTTAAGGGACTGGGAATAAAATTAAACAACAACCAAGTCAAAGAACGGCCAGAATCCCATTTAGAAATCACAGTACACAGACTTCCGCAGGAGGCGGTGTGGGGTTGACAACCAAGGTCAGAGGCTGTAAATGGATAAACCCTGAGCAGGAAGCCAGGTGCAAAAAGCCACAACGCACCATCTAGAAAGGCCTTTTCTCGCCTCTCAAACTAGCAAGTACGTCCTCCGGTGGGTCTGACAGTATTTTATCTCCATGGGGAGGCCTGCAAATGCCATTCTGCAGGATGCTGTAGAAAGATCCTTGCCCTCTGACCTAGCTGCGCTGCTGCTGGGAATGTGTCCTGACAACTGTGGGGAAAACCTGCTGGCCTCCCTGGGGGGGTCTTTATCTCTGAGGGGAATCAGAAGCCACCAGGCTGCCCGGACAGCTGCAGGAATGCCCTGAACTCCTCTGTGTCCTGGGATAGTCCGATAACAAAGATGGGCTGCTGCCAGGCTGCGCCGTGACGATGGACAGCGGGTTCACCTGAGTCCAGCAGCCCCCCTGAAGATGGTTAAGAATGCAGCACAGAGGCTGGCTGGGGTGGGCAAGGGCAGGGTAAAGGGGAGGGCTGGGCTGGGCGGAGGAGGGCTTGCAGGACCTGGAACTGGCCTCTTGGCTAACGCACAGCACAGGCTCCCAAATGTGCGTGACCTGCCATCCCCTTTTTTTGGGGGGGGAAATGCGCCCCCACCCACAATTAAAACTGAGTACTATATCCTGTCATGAGGACCATGAAATATAGGTCTCCCTTTGGCCGCCCTGTCCTCACACCCCAGGCTGGCAGCGCCCACTTTGGGAAGGGCTAGCAAAAGCACAGCCGACCTCCATGCACCAGGGGGTGGGGGGTCCCTAGAGGCTGGAGACTGCTGCTCTAGATGTGAGCATGCAGCAGGCTGGCTTTGGAGTAAGTCTGGCCTGCCTCTGGCTGTGCACACTCAGGCCTGTGGAGCTCCCAAGGCCACCCTGCCTCCAGACCAAGGATTATTCCGAGTTGGTCTCAGAGATGGAGCCAAATGCTCCCCCGTCCTCATCCTCTGAGGGCCCCCACTTCCTGAGGCCACCTGAGGGGTTGGGCGTGACCAGCTATCTAAGGCTCCTCCTCATGGCCCTGCAGATGCCGTGGCCGCTTCGCTGAGCCCCCGGAGCAGGGTGGGCCTGGCCCCCAACCACATGCAGCAGGTCCGCCTACACCGCGTGGAGTCCATCAGTGACCTGCACAGTGGAGGTAGGGGCGGGGCTGCGGGGGGCCCCTGCAGGGCGGGGTGCAGAGGCACCTGTGCCTTCCTGAAACCCTACCCTTCTGTCGCTCAGGCCCCCTGCGCCCACATCTTGTCGAGGAGGTACGGCCCTGGGAGGACTTCCTGGTGGTGCTGCCGCCGTCCCTGTGTGCCCAGGCCGGCTGCGGCCTGGTGCCTGGCCGCTGTGGGGCCTTCCTGCTGCTGCTGGCGGTGCTGGTGCTCACGTGCCTGGCCTTGGCCATCCTGGCTGTCTACCTGAGTGGTACGGAGGGGAGGCTGGTCCCAGTGAGGGCTCAGGAACCACTTGGGGGGGCGGAGGCCTGGAAATAGGAGGGGGTGGGGGCTGGGGCTATGGGTGGAATCCCTAGGCACCCCCAAGGTTGGGCGGGACAGGAGGGGTGCCTGGCTGATGGCTCCCCCACCTCCCCCCTGCAGTCCTGCAGAGTGAATCCCTGCGGGTCTTGGCGCACACATTGAGGACCCAAGAGGAGACACTACTCAAACTCCGGCTTGCCAGTCTCAGCCAGCTTCGGAGGCTCAACCTGAGTGAGGCCCAGGCACCCAGCTGAGGTGCTGCCGGGCTGGCAGGGGCTGTGTAGGGGGTTGGCAGAGGGGCCTGGGCAGGGCCGTTGGCCATGTCTTCGCTGCTTGCTGGCTGAGCTTTTGGTACAAGAGCCTCCCTCGCCTGGTCTCTGCAGGGCAGGTCTAGCCAAGCCTTCTGGTGCCATGGATCCTGGCTTGGGTGGCCCAAGGTCGGAGGAAGGGGCACCAGCCTCCTGGCTCTTCCTGTCTCCTGTCAGCACCCTCTGCCACCCCCAGGCAGCAGGTTCAAGAAGGCCAGGAATAGCTGCCTGCTACCCACATTCCAGCCACCGACTCTGCCAGGCCTCCCAGGGGGTCCAGAGGCTTCTTGGGGCAAGGCTGCCTTGGAGGGCAGAGGTGACAGGGAGAACTGGCCGGGGCAGCGGAGCAGGAGGGACAGACAGACAGAGAAGCTAGGTCCACAGATGACAGTGTCCTGTTGCACTGGGATAACCCTTAAAGACCAGCAACCGCAACCCCCCCCCCCCCGCTGTGGGGCTTGTCCAGAGACACCCCCCACCCCAGTGGGTTTCGGCCGAGAAGGGGAGGGGACAGTTTCTCACACCCTAACGCCCGCCCTCCAACCCTGGGGCAGGCACACATCTGGCGGGCCTAAGCTGAGCCTCCTGGAGGGGACAGGGCTGAGGGCAGAGACAACTGGCCAGGGTCCCATGTAGCCTGGCTGCCAGTCCTCCCTCCTCCCTGGTCTGCGCGTCTGTTTTGGCTTTGTCATTAAAAAAAATAAAGCGGCAGTTACTGGTGGGGGCCAGTGGTTGCACTGTCTTCTGTTAAAAACACAGCAAGGGCGCGAGGGGGCCTCCTCCACGGCTGCGCCTCACAGCACGTCAGCCCGCTTGTCGCGCACACGGCTGCGGGCCTTGGTCCGGGCTTTGAAGGCGGCGGCGTTGTACAGGTGCTGGAGGGGCAGAGGCGGGGACTGAGCAGTGGGAAGGGGTAGACCAGGCCCAGGGCCTGCTCCCCCAGCTCCCGGCGGGGACGGGGCGTGGAGGTATGTGTGTGTGGGAGGGTGGGTGCCGCCGACCTTCTCAAAGCGCGAAATCTTGCAGGCCTTGAGGGCGGTGGCGTCCAGAACCAGCACGGGGCCCAGGCCAAAGATGTCACGGAGGAGCTCGTTGTTCTGGGGACCGAGAGGGCAGTGAGACGGGGCCCGCCGGAAGAGGCCCTTCCTGCCCCGCGCCGCCTGCCCCGACCTGCAGGTGGTGGTGCATGCCGGAGCCCAGCGCAGCCTTGAAGGCAGCGTAGACCCTGCGCCGGGCCCAGCTGTCCACGTAGAGCGCCTCCAGGCCAAACCGCACGGTCTCCTCCTCGCACTCGCCGCCCTGCAGGGCAGACAGGGCTTGGCTACTGAGCCCTCCGCAGGACACGCCGCAGGTCGTGGGGGTGGGGGGCGCTCACCTCCAGGAAGTGCAGCACGGCGCGGAACGTGGAGCGCTGGCGACGGCGGTCGGCCTTGGCCCGGTACTTGTTGCTGTCGGTGGCCAGCATTCGGAGAGCACTGCCCAGAGCCTCCATGTCCTCATACATGAAGTCCTCCTGCCGGGGGGGTGGAGGGGCTGAGCCCCACTGGCACCCACCAGAGGCTCCCCTCTTCCCCCCTTGTCAGACACCCCAGCCCAGGGCCACGATCAGCTCACCTAGTGTGTGTAGGGGTCTGTGTGCCCCCTGGGATAGTCCGATAACAAAGATGGGCTGCTGCCAGGCTGCGCCGTGACGATGGACAGCGGGTTCACCTGAGTCCAGCAGCCCCCCTGAAGATGGTTAAGAATGCAGCACAGAGGCTGGCTGGGGTGGGCAAGGGCAGGGTAAAGGGGAGGGCTGGGCTGGGCGGAGGAGGGCTTGCAGGACCTGGAACTGGCCTCTTGGCTAACGCACAGCACAGGCTCCCAAATGTGCGTGACCTGCCATCCCCTTTTTTTGGGGGGGGAAATGCGCCCCCACCCACAATTAAAACTGAGTACTATATCCTGTCATGAGGACCATGAAATATAGGTCTCCCTTTGGCCGCCCTGTCCTCACACCCCAGGCTGGCAGCGCCCACTTTGGGAAGGGCTAGCAAAAGCACAGCCGACCTCCATGCACCAGGGGGTGGGGGGTCCCTAGAGGCTGGAGACTGCTGCTCTAGATGTGAGCATGCAGCAGGCTGGCTTTGGAGTAAGTCTGGCCTGCCTCTGGCTGTGCACACTCAGGCCTGTGGAGCTCCCAAGGCCACCCTGCCTCCAGACCAAGGATTATTCCGAGTTGGTCTCAGAGATGGAGCCAAATGCTCCCCCGTCCTCATCCTCTGAGGGCCCCCACTTCCTGAGGCCACCTGAGGGGTTGGGCGTGACCAGCTATCTAAGGCTCCTCCTCATGGCCCTGCAGATGCCGTGGC